GAATTGTTTTTGAAGAGGAGCTATCTTTAGAGCAGCAGTAGCTGCAATATCACTGTCAGTTGAGCAGAGTATTAACTCAAGGAGAAGGAATAAGTTCCAAAGTGAAGCTCAAGCTACTATGGAAGTTGGCAAAATCCTAGGTTTGAACTGTGAAGGTAAGGAGCAGGAGGTGATTAGCAAATTAATTGAACTTGAAGAGAAGGACCTGGAGAGAATTGATGGGGAGAGTATTACTTCTTAGGCCAGGTCAGGGAAAAGGAGAGGGGATTTGGGATTTGTGAACAATTTCTTTGTGATTATTTTATTCTGGAATGTTAGAGGTCTACGAAGACCTGAAAAGAGAAGAAAAATTAAAAACTTAGTTAGGGAGAGGAAGATTGATGTCCTGCTGCTGTAGGAGACAAAGAGAAGTAAAATAGATGAAATGTTTCTTAAGTCATTATGGCCATGGGAGGAGATAGAGAGCATGGAGGTGGGGGCTGAAGGAAGTGCTGATGGTTTGTTGTGCTTATGGAATCCACAAATTTTTGAGCTAAAAGAGTGTTGCAGCAACATAAATTTGGTATGGGTCATCATACTTTTTGTTGCGTGATTATAAATATATATGCACCTAATGATGTGTTGAAAAGAAGACAATTATGGGATTCTTTAGCCCAGATTAAACCGGTTTTCTCAAGTCCCTAGTGTATAGGTGGAGATTTTAACGAAATAAGACTCATGAATGAAAGAAAGGATGCTCTAGAAAGGAAAGATGGATGAAGTACTTCAATGAATTGATTGACAAGTTGGAATTGATGGATATACCAATGTTAGGCAGAAATTTCACTTGGTGTAATGCGATGGATGGAGATAGATGGAGTAGGATTAATAGATTCCTACTAGATCCTAGGTGGTTGGAAAGATTAAAGTTGAAACAGTAGGGGTTGCCTCGAAGCATTTCTGACCATTGCCTGATATTCCTTGCAGAAGATGAACGGAATTGGGACCCAAAACTATTTAGATTCATAAATGCATGGTGTTTGCATCCTAAATTCAAAGAAGTAATAAAGACATATTGGGAAAGAACACAGGTCAGTGGGTGGGCCAGTTATAAGCTATTGAAAAAGCTAGGAAATCTGAGAGTACATCTGAGAAGATGGAACTGTGAAGTGTTTGGTAACCTTGATGAGCAACTGAAACAAGCAGAGGATGAAATTCATGAATGGGATTTAAAAGCTGAAGAAAGGATTCTCTAGGATTCTAAGATTAAAAGAAGAGCATAAGTTAGAAGTTTAGCTTGGGATCTAAGCAAGGAAAAGGAATGGTTGTGGCATCAAAAATCTAGAATGGTTTGGGTTGAAAATAGGGATAAAAATACTAGGTTGTTTCGTATAATGGCAATTAAAAGGCAGAGAAAAAACTTATTGAATTCAGTTAATGAGCATGGAGTACTGTATGATCAACCTGGGATGATTAAATAGGCTGTAGTAAGTCATTTCAGTCAGTTGTTCACTGAAGGATAGAGGTGTAGACCAAAGTTGTCAGGTGTTTTTGCCTCACTTAGTCAAACAGATTCAACTGAATTATTGGAGGTAGATTTTTTAAAGGATGAAATTTGGGAAGCAATCAAAGACTACGATGGTAACAAAGCTCTGGGGTCAGATGGTTTTAATCTAAAGTGTATCCAAAAATGCCAAGACATCATGAAAGTGGAGATTGTGCAGATGATGTATGAGTTCCACTCCAATGGTAAATTGGCCAAAGGAGTGAATAGTTCATTTATTACCTTAGTTGCTAAGAAGAAAAATCCTATGGGTCTGAGTGACTATAGGCCAATCAGTTTGGTTAGCTCCATGTATAAAATAATTGCCAAAGTCTTATAAAAAAGGTTGAGGCAGGTCTTATCCAAGATTATTAGTGAAGTACAAATGACATTTCTAAGTGGAAGATACATTCTAGATGGAGTTCTAATTGCCAATGAAGTGGTGGATTGGTGAAGAAGGTCAAAAAAAGAAAGGAATCATCCTAAAATTGGATTTTGAAAAGGTATATGACTCAGTAAATTAGGAGTTTTTGTATTCAATGATTGTCAATTTTGGTTTTGGTGAGAAACGGGTGGGATGGATAAAGACGTGTATATCTACAGCTAGAATTTCAGTACTAGTAAATGGATCACCTACTTCAGAGTTTTCCCCTATGAAAGGCCTTAGGCAAGGTGACTCACTTTCACCTTTCCTTTTTAACATAGTAGTAGAGGGCCTTAATATACTCATGGAAAGAGCAAAAGAAGAGGGTTTGATCAGAGGAGTCACAGTAGCGCCAAATGAGTTGAAACTATCACACTTGCAATTTGCTGATGATACTATTATATTTTGTTAAGCTGAATGGGAGAAAATTGTTGCTATGAAAAGGATTTTAAGATGCTTTGAGGTGATGTCAGGAGTCAAAATAAATTTTCATAAAAGCAAAGTGTGTGGGGTGGGTATTCAGGATGACTTAATGAAGGACTTTGCAAAGAAACTTAGCTGCCTCAGCCAAAAGCTGCCAATGAACTATCTGGGACTACCATTATGAGCAAATCCAAGAAGAAAGAGTTCATGGAAACCAGTGGTGGATAAGTTCAAGAGTAAGCTAGCTTCATGCAAGAGAAGGTATCTGTCTTTTGCAAGAAGATTAACACTGATAAAGTTTGTTTTGACAAGCTTGCTAGTCTATTTCCTATCCATCTTCATGTTGCCAGTGGGTATTGCAAAATCACTAGACAGAATTCAAGCTAATTTTCTTTGGAAAGGTTTTGAAATCTGGAAAAAAGTGCACCTAGTAAGCTAGAAGGAGATTTGTCTAAGCAAAAATCAAGGTGGGCTAGGTGTGGGAAATCTAAGTCAGGTTAATGAGTACCTTCTAATTAAGTGGTGGTAGAGATATGGCAAAGAGGATTCAACTTTGTGGAAACAAGTGGTATGTAGTAAGTATGGAGGTTTGGGTGGTAGATGGAGCCCATTTTTAGGAGAGTCATTGTCCATGTCTAATTTGTGGCAAGGTATACTATCAGTGGCTGTAGAAAATCCTGACTTGCGAGATTTCTTTTTGCAAAATTTTAAGGTAATTGTTGGAAATGGTAGAAAAGTGCAGTTCTGGATTGATAGGTGGATTAATAATCAAAGTCTGAGTGGGTGGCAGTTGAAAAGGATGGCACTCTGTTTAAGTTTTTTCATAGCAGATGAGTGGGTGCAGACTGGAATATTGCCTTTAGAAGGACTCTTCTTGCTTGGGAAGAGGAGGAAGTGTTGAAAGTTAATGATTTGTTACAGAGTGCTCCTAGACTAAATAAAGGGGGTTGAAGACTATTGTTCTTGGTTAGCGCATCTTTCTGGAGTCTTTAATGTGGCATCAATTTGGAAGTGGGTAGTAGCATGTAAAAGGCTAACTATCACAGTCACTAAACGCATTTGGAATAATTTAGCCCCTCTCAAAGTACAGTTTCTGAGCTGGTTGGCTTGGAGAGGTAGGATTAAGTCCTTTGAGTTTTTACAAAGGATTGAAGTATTGAATTCTAGTGTTAGTGCACTGTGTGTGTTTTGTAAATCTGAGGTGGAGTCTTTAAACTATGTCCTTCTTCACTGTCCTAAGATTTGGAGAATATGGGCCAGTATTATGAATTGGTGGAACTTGAGTTGGGCTATTCCTGGTTCAGTGGAGGCAGTACTTCATTGCTGGTCAGGTCCAAAAATGAAGAAAAAGGTAAAGGAGATTTGGAAGACGATACCATTGGCAGTAATGTGGTCAGTGTGGAAACTCAGGAATGAGTGCATATTTAATGAAACACAACCAGCTTTCAATGATTTGGCTGATCTGGTAAAAATCAGAGTTGCTATGTGGGTTGTTTTATCCTTGAAAAAGTTCAAATACTCGGTGCACGATGTGTTATATAACCTGAAGCAGGTCTGCTACTGTGTGTAGAAATTGGGACATAAGGATGCTGAATTGCTGCTAAGTATGCTGGTGCTGGTTTTGATGCCTATTAGTGTAGACATCGGGTAGATAATGGGACACAAGGAAATTGAATTGCTGATCTGGTGCTGGTGTTGGTTTGCTAGGCTGGTGATTTTTTTGCTTAATCAGATGCTCTGGTGCTGGTGTTGATGCCTGTTATGCTGGTGGTTTTTTTTTTGGCTGTTCTATTTTGGTGAAGTTTTTGTATCAGATATGGAGGTTGAATGAGTGGGCTCAAGTCTGGTGGCATGCAACTGATGCTTGGTTAGGTGTAGAGGGGTAATATGAGCTTTTAATGGTTCCTCAGCCTATAAATGATGTGAATTCCTTATGGGACCTGAATCAGATGCTCTACTCAGCAAAGCTTCTGGTTGTTATGTTTAGCTGATTGGCTCAAAGATTGGATGTTGCTATATTCTGTGCTGTTGGTGTTGTGTCACGCTTTGTTGAAATATGATGATGCTGTTGCTGTTTTGTGGTAAAGGATTGTGTCTAAGGTTAGGCTTTTGTTTATAAGGTTGATGGCTAGGTGAGACTTAGGATGAGATGATGTTTTGGGCAGAAAGAACTTAGGTGTACTGATGTATAAGGTAGAGGTGTTGCTGGTGTGTGCTACTGATATGAGCTGCTGATGTATTGGTGCTCTTGTTCTGCTTTTTTGTTCTTTCTTTTGTTGGTTGCTTTGATTGGTTTCTCACCAATCTGGGTCAAGTGCTAGCAAATGATTTTGTTTCCTTTGCGGTGCCAATCTAATTGGGATTGTTGAGGTTAGTTATGATGCTAAGTGTACGCCCCTGTTTTGTTGCTGTATTTTTGGATGTATATTACTTTTTTTCATCAATAAAACTTTATTTTTGCCGATCAAAAGAAAAAAATAAAAATTTATGTGTGAATCAGTTATTTTGGACGGAATGAATTTCCACCATATATGTTTATTTTGTGTTTATTTTTGTGATTTTTGTTATACTTGTGTTTAATGTTAATTTGGTAAGAGAATGCCATAAACAACCAATAAGGAAAAGTAGGAATCATGTAGTTAACCATTGTAAAACTCCATAAAGAAAAAAGAAAGAGAAGGATACAAAACAAAGAAACAATTAAATATGCCTTTCCTAGCATAGCGTTCTGTTGGCTCCAAAATTCATTGGCCAAGGTCTCATTTTTTTTTTCCCCATCGGCATATCCTTCTTTACTTTTCACATTGATCTTAAGATGCAAGCTCAAAGAAGCACATTGATCGGTGAAGTAATGAGAAAATTGGTTGTCTTTCCTTATCATGATGGGAAAATTTCGGTCAATTGAAGTTAGACCGAATCAAAGACACGAGCACCCCAAAACAAAAAAACAAAAAATTCAAAAAAACATACAAGCAGAAAACATACGTTCTACTAGCAAGAAACAAATTACATAATGAGATATAGATACTCACCAGTAAGTGAGTGCCTGTGATCCATTTTGTGATTTATTTCTATATTAGTAGCATTTTTTAACAGAAAAATTATTTAACAAAAATATTAGTATTCTAAAAAAACATGGATAAAAAGCTTTTCGATTTGGCCACTGGGGTCTGGCTAGGAGATGGCGAAAAAGCCGGGCTGGGTGCTGGAGTGGGAGCTGACATCTCGGGCGGCAAGGCTGGGCCTGCAGTAGTAAGTGAAGCACCATGACGTAACTTCTTGTTATGATGATGCTTTTTCTTTGATTTCTTATCGTCTGAATCTGATTTTTTATCGTCGGATTTTTTATCATCAGATGTTTTGTCATTTGAAGATGTATTTGAAGGTGTTGAGCTGTATTGAAAATCCGAGTATTCATCGTCAGAATCAGAAGTATCGGAAGAAGCACTTGCACTATCCTGCGGTGGTGGGTAAATAAGGCCAGGAGTGTAAGGCACACCGGTCTTTGGTATCCATTTATTTCCAGTCAGAAAATTGGAGGCTACGAAACGTTCAATCCGGGTTTTCGTAACTTCCTTGACACCTTTCCACTGAACCCTTTTTAGTTTCGAAGAAGCGGGTCCTCTATTGTTATACTCAGTATAAAAACACGTGTCAAGGGCAAAAGTGTCATTCCATGGCATCCACCCGTCTGGCTGGATCAAATCGTCGATGTAAGACTCCATGATAATGGTTCTTGAGTATTCCTTCCAAGGTCTGCCAAGGTACGCTTTGAGTATGTGTTGGACAGGCCGGTATGCTTTGTCAGCCTTGATGGTACAGTTTTGGAGGACAATTCCAGTCGGTTGGCGACTTTCCTTCCTGCCTTGTGCTGTTACTATGGTTGCTTGATTTTCCAGTGGTTTTCGGACCATGAATGTACAATTTTGGAATAACGCAGCGCTATCTCCAAAAACGAAATCAATGGTGCCTGAGATGACACAGTCGCGATAGAATTGACGATAAGTGTGCGCGTAAAGGGTGTCTTGGTATCCATCCATTTGACAATTATAGAAAGTTGCCATGTCTGCACCAACTCGCAATGCCACGGCTTGGTGCTTTTCTGGACCAGCTGAGTTCTCAAACCCTATGTCTTTGGCAACAAAATGGTCTCCAAGTACAACTACAACAAAAATTCAAACATGTTGGACAAATAGAGATGTGCAAGTCATTAAACGTAAATAAAAAGAAAAACTCCACAAAAATAATATTTTACTAGAAAATGAGGAGTGTCCGATGAAACTATTTTTTTTTTCAAGTTAACTTTTGAGAAATGATAGTTTCTTACTATTAAATATTAGCACCAAAACAAAAAACTAATATATTTCAATGATTTCTTTTTCCTTACCTCAATTATTTTGTACAAATTTTTGAGCTACATAATTAGAATATTTGTTTGAGTGTCTTGTTAAGTCATTTTATTAAGATATAATTTATGTAAATATATATATGGATTTATAATAAAAATAACAAAAAGATATAGGAATCTATAGAAAATGGATAAATGTATATTATATGAATAGAATATATATAAATATAGAATATTGTATTTAAAATTAGAATGTATATCATTTAAGCTTCTAATCCAAGCTCTATTTCGTTGAGTTTGGTGAATTTTTTTTTTCTTAAAAAAAAAAACAATATTTTCATATGATTTTCTTTTTTTGGGTGGAAATATTTTTTGAAAATATAAAATATCTTTTCTAAGGTTTATTGTTTCAAACAAGTTCTAATTTTTTTTTTAAAAAATAATCTGAAAACTCAATGAAATAGAATAATTTAAGCGCATTCAAGTTTTAAATATCGTTATATATAGCATCGCCTATTATATATGGAAAGTTATTCGTCAATATATCAATCGATAATGGGTGTTAGATGACCGTATCGCACATACCAACAGTTGCAGAATGGAAGGTGGTTGTTCCATCAATGAAGTTGAGTCTGCCAGTGATCCTAGTCTTGGTTGGACCATCTCCAATAACCATCAAATGGGTCATGCTTTTATTAAACTGCACTTTCTCCTCATAAACACCCTCCTTGATATACAACACAAAGGTCTTGTTTTGATTTTTGGGTATATCCTTCAAAGCTTCATTAATGGTGTTGTACTTTCCACTTCCATCCTTGGCCACAATAAGGTCTGGTTTGACCTTCTTCTTGTGCTCTGATGCTTCAAGTAGTCTCCGTATTCCTCCATTGATCCAAACCGGGTACTCTTCTGAGAGTAGGCGGCGACTATATGCCGGCATGTTCAAAGACGATAGCCCTCTGGAGATCTCGGTCACCATGGCAAGGGCATTACTAGTCAATTGCATACCAAATTTTAAGTACTCCCTCATTTTGTCTCCAGCATTGCCTGTCGTGTTCTCAAACCCGTCTAGGCAAGTTTCTTGGTAAGTGATCGCACCGCTTAGCCAGATCTTTAAATCGCTCAACAAGTCATCGAAATTGCTAGAATCGATCTCACTCATATGATCAATCGATCTCTGGAGGTCATGGGCCGCAGATTCACCCAATTCCCGACAATTATCAAGTGCTTCCCTACTTCTGGGGTCCTTCTCGAGTTCTTTCAAGACGGTTGAGTTTTTGGCTGCTTCTTTGACTTTCTGCACCGCCACTTGGAACGCGGTTTTAACGAGTTCTTGTGGGTTGGTGGTGTTCCCTGCTGACGATGACAGGCTTTCCACACAGACTTGTTTGTAATCCACAGTGTCACAAACGCTATTGATGGCTTTCACGGAAGTCGATACGTCTTGACTATCGAGATTCGTGCCATCAGCGTTTTGAGTGACTCCAATTGTTACTGCCACCACCATTGCCACCAAGAACAAAGAAGAGACGCCAATTATTGCTATTCTCCTTTTCCCTTCTCCCATTTTGCTTTTTTCTCTAGAGTCAAACACAAGATCTTCTTTTTGTTTTGTGTGTGTTTTTTTTTTTTTTTTGTTATTTGAAATATTTTCTCTTTTGATAAGCCCAGAGGGACTGGATAGATGTTAAAACGTCCCTCAAAGCTTAGAAAGCACCCCTTTAGGGTTTGGCTCTGCAGATCTCCTTGGAAGGGATCCTTTAAATAGAGGAAGATATAGGTTGATCAGTTAGTTATTTCTGTTGAAAATATGAGGGAAGATAGAGTCAAAGTGACAAAAATAGATAGTTGTTTGTAATTTCTGCCAATAAACTAGGTTGACCATGTCATCACCACAGGCTTTCCATTCTCAATTTAGAAAAGAGCAACGCTATTTTGCCGGTGCTTGGGAACACGAAGACAGGCTATTTTAGCCTCAACTTAAAAAAAATAAAAAATAAAAAAATGAAAAAATCTTTTAGCCCTACCAAACCCGTTAATTTTTTTTTTTAAAAAGAAAAATAATGAAAAAGAAGCGGCTGTCCAGCAGCACAGAAACATTGGCTATGTTTTGTAGGGCTTATTTTCATCATATTTCAGTTTTTTGCTTACTTTAAATTATTTTGATGTGTTTAGTTCAACTTAACAATAGAGCTTATAACTTTTCATAGGTCAAAAATCAGCTTATTCTTTGAGTGGGGGAGGAGAAGCTTAATTTATAAGTCAAAAATCAACTTATGTTAACAGCTATAAGTTATAAGCTATTAGGCTTCAGACAGTTAAATGACGCTTGTACCCCTATAGATCAAATTTGAAAAAAATAAAGTTAGGGGTAAATTTGTCATTTCAACTTTAAATATCATTTTAAACATATTTTTCAATACAACAATCAATCTAAAAATTTAACCCAAGTTTCCAAATACAAAAATTAAAATAGCTTATTAAAATAGCCAAAAAAATCAAAAAGTCTTAAAAAAAGCCACTTCCCAATCACTCACTTTAATTCAAAAGTTAAAATTACTTTAAATAGGGTAAATTACATTTACCTCCTCTGAGGTTTCTGACAAACACAAGGATCTCTCATGTAGTTTGAATGATTACAGTAACCTCTCCTGTTTTACCTGACAATGTCAAGGTTCCTCCTTCTATCAAATTGTTCCAAGCGGTGTTACTTTTTTTTTATATTAAATTACCTTATTGCCCTTCCTTGTAAAAGATTAAAAAATGTTTTTGGGTTGGATAGCAGGTTTGGAAGAAACAAACAGTATTTGGAACAGTATTTTTGGATTTATTTTTATAAAATATTAAAAAATGGTTAAAAAATTTTATTTTTTTTTATTTTAAATATACAATTTTTATTTAAATATTTTTAAATATTTTATTTTATTTTGTAAATATTTTAATTTTTTTGAATTTTAATATTCTAAACTCAAAACACAACTTCACGGTCAAATCGTAACCAAACACAGAATTCAAAACTCAATTCAAAAATTATTTTCAAATCTCATAACCAAACATATAACTCGACACTTCACACTACTTTCAAAATTCTACACTCAAATCGTAATCAAATGCATAACAAAAAAAATTAAAATATTTAAAAATATATTTATAAAATAAAATAAAATATTAAAAATAAAAAAATATATATTTAAAATAAAAAATAAATTTTAAATTTTTTTAATATTTAAAAAATATATTTAAAATATTTTAAAAAATACAACACATAGATGTATGAAATATAATACATATTAAAATAAATAAATAAATATTTAAAATATAAAATTAGGATAAATATTTTATATTTTAGATATTTATTTATTTATTTTAATGTGTATTGTATTTCATATATTTGTGTGGTGTATTTTTTTTAATATTTTAAATATATTTTTAAATATCAAAAATTTAAAAAATATATTTTTTATTTTAAATAATATATAATTTTTATTTTAAATATTTTATAAATATATTTTTAAATATTTTAATTTTTTTATTATGTGTTTGGTTACGATTTGAATATAGAGTTTTGAAAGTAGTGTAGAGTGTCGAGTTATGTGTTTGGTTATGAGGTTTGAAAATAATTTTTAAATTGAGTTTTTAGTTATGTGTTTGGTTATGATTCGAGTGTGAAGTTATGTTTTGAGTTTAAAATATTAAAATTTAAAAAATTAAAATATTTACAAAATAAAATAAAATATTTAAATAAAAATTACATATTTAATAAAAAAATAATTTTTTAAAACATTTTTTAATATTTAAAAAAATAAAAATATTGTTCCAAACACTGTTTGTTTCTTTCAAATCTGTCCTTCAATCCAAAAATATTTTTTGATATTTTAAAAGGAAGGGCAATAAGGTAATTTACTATAGAAAAGTAATACCATTTGGAACAATTTGACATAAGGGGGGAATCTTGACATTGTTAGGTAAAGTATGAGAGATTACTATAATTGTTCAAACCACAAGAGAGGTCCTTGTATTTGTCAGAAATCTCAAGGGAGGTAAATGTAATTTACCCTTTTAAATATAAAGATATTAGCATATCACTCGTGCTACACACAGGATAAAATAATATATTATTTATTAAAAATACGATAATTACATTTAATTTTTTTATATTTTAAAATGTTATATATAAGTTTTTCAAATATTTCTTTACTATAACATATAGTATAGATATATTAAAATTGTTGTATTGACAATTAATAATTAAAATTATGCTTTGTTACAAAAAAAAAAAATGATATAGTTCTAATATTTCACTATTTTAGAATAAAAATATATGAATTTTAAAAATTTGTCATATTAGTTTTTGAAAGGGAAATAATTAAAGAAATTTTAAAAATTTAATGAATAAGAAAGAATTGTTGAAACATGTAAAACCGCTAAAATTACGATTAAACCAGCAAATCACTCAAACCAAGTTTAGCTTAATCAGTTAGGTTAAAAGACCAATCAGCTTACACAAAAATTAATTAATTAAAACTTTAGATTTTATTTTATTAAAATTTAAACTGTCATTAAATATGAAAAACAATCTATTAATTTAAATTTAAAATTGACACAATATAAATTTGAAATTATAATAATTTATCCCATGATTTATAAGTTTTAAATACAAATTTAAAATTATCATAATTATCTCATAATTTTTGTATTAAGGAGCAGTAAGAAACAGTGACGTTGGGATTATCTATATATCTATATATTTTACAAAAGAATAATTTTATGGAGAGATATTATGAGAGTTTCAAAATCTCTATGTGGGATTGTAAAATAAAAGTTAAATGGAAGCTAACTAATGGAGATTTTCTTAATTGTTCAAAATTAAGAAAATCAAAAAACTTAGTATAAGATATTGATCATAAGGTTTCTCACTAAAAATCTTCTTTTGTTTATATAAATTGGAGTATAAGATTTACTTTATATAAGTGAAATAATTTATTTTTTCTTTCTTTTCTCGATGTGGGATTGTAAAATCGAAGGTAAATGGAAGCTAGTTAATGAGAATTTTAAAAAATTAAGAAAATTTAATAATTTTATAATGAGGGTTTAGAACTTCTAGAAGGTTTCTCTCTAAAAATTTCATTTTCCTTATATAATATATAGATAGATAGATAGATAGATAGATAGAGAAACAAACTTTACTTTTTCTTCTTCTCCCGATGTGAGACTATAAAATAAATCATAAACTAAAACTTTTTAATTGTTTAAAATTAATAAAATCAGTATGATAAATCGCGATTAAACCGACAAATCGGTCAAATCCAAAATAGTTCAACCTAATTGGTTAGGTCAAATGATCAACCAACTTATACAAAAAATTAATTAATTAAAACTTTTAAATGTTTTTTTAATTTTAAAATTTAAACTGTCTTAAATTGACGTATATACAATACTATACTATTAAGATTCATTTTATATAAGTGAAACAACTCACTTTTTTATTCTTTTTCCGATGTGGGATTATAAAATAAAAGTTAACAATTATTTGGACGGAAAGTTTATTTCTAATAAAGCAATTTCAGTCTTTCAATCTTTAATTAGACCAATCTTTAATTTATTTGAAATCAAACAAATTTAATCAATATATTTTGATAAAATTGCTAAAATCGCGGCCAAACCAACAAATCAATCAAATCAAAAATGATTTAGCCTAATTAGCTAAGTCAAAATTAATTAATTAAAATTTTTAAAATTCAAACTATATTGAATTGAAATGTGCACAACATTACAATATTAAATCGGATGATAGTATAATATTCACTTTATATGAGTAAAATAACTTATTTTTTTCCTACTTCTCCCGATGTGGGATTATCAAATAAATGTGATACTATTAAATGGAAAAAGGAGTATAAGATTCACTTTATAAGACTAAAACAATTCATTTTTTTCATTTTTCTCCCGATGTGAGATTATCAAATAAAAACTAGCCAATGGATATTTTTTAATTATTTAAAATTAAGAAAATTAGTATAAAATATTGAATCTCTCACAAGGCTCCTCACTAAAAATTTAATTTTCCTTATATAATATATAGATAGTAGTCTATTAAAATATTTTAAATTATTATTATTATTATTATTATATATAATCTCTAATTATCAATCAAACATTTTTTTTTTTTACATATCAATGAATTTTGAAAATGGACAACACCCACATTTTAATCAGAAACAAGAAACAAACATAAAAACTAATATAAACCAAATACATAATGTAAGTATAGACTGACAAGATTTTTTTTTCGTAGGTAGATCTCATTAACAAAGTTAAGGCCAAGTTTGGCATCCTCCAAAAAATTCAAAAAGTCAAAAAGTCACTATCCTATTTAAGTCACATCACCTCTCTAACACATCACTTCAAACCCAACCCAAATCCAACCCATATTTCATAAAAATTCAAAAAGTGTACTTATTTAGTCTTCCCAAACTTGGCCTAAATATACACAGTGTTGACATATAAAACAACTCTTATAAAGTTTGCGGGATATTGTGCGTCTGGTTTTGTACGAGCAATTATTGAATAGTTTTCATATATATATATATATATATATCAAGAAGGAAGCTTTATTGATGACAAAATATACATTATATATAAAATTACATCAATAAAAGAGTGGAGGAGCATAAAGCATCATAGCAAACTACCCAATTCCAACTAAGTTGGCACCGAACAAAGAGCACAATCATCTACAAACTCAACCACAAAGGGTTGGTGAGAAACCAAACACAGCAAGAAAAAACCCGCCTAATGAACCAAACCCTAATCTACCATCTGTTAGGATCAACCAATGACCAAACTCCCCTTTGAACTTTGAAACTCCACCCAGCAACCATCAACAATAGCAACCAAGCATAAACAACATAACAAACCAGAAACAGCCAACAACCACCCCACCAACAGCAGCAAAATCAAAAAAACCCAGCAGAACAAAAACACACTAGCAGCAAAAGCAGCAAGAAAATCAGCAATGGCAAACAAACCAATAGTAAAACAATAGTAACATCTCAGTAGGATCTGCAAAACCAACACAACAAAGCAAAAACGACCAACAACCACCCCACTAGTGATAGCAAATGAACTAAACAGGGCAAAAACCCAGCAGAAACATAACACAACATTAGCAAAATCAGCAAAAATCGGCAACCAATACACATAGTAGTAGAAAAAATTGCAGCACCTCCACCTTCAACTCATGAAGTCCCAAGACAACTCCGGACTCGTTGAAAGTTGAAGACAACATCATTCACCGAGAATGGGGCACCACTGATATGAGATCTCAACTATATTGCTACTCTCACCTTGATACAATCACACAACTCATGAAAATTGGGCTGAATTGCCTGGAAAACGCATTCATTCCTATACCTCCACACAGACCACAATATTGCTACAGGTAAAGCCCTTCAAACCTGATTAACTTTCTTTTTAAACTTCCAACCCGACCACCAAATTAACTGATCTTCAATGGAACTGGGCATAGCCCACTGAAAATCCCACCAAGAAGCAAGAGCGGACCATATTTTCCAAACAAAAGGACAATAAAGCAAAATATGATCAACTGATTCAGTTGACTCATGACAAAAAATGCAATTCAGAACATCAACATCCTCAAAAATTCCAAACCAGTGTAACAGTTCTTTTGTTTTCAGTCTTCCTCTCCAGGCTAACCAAGAGAAGAATTTGGCTTTTGGTGGAGAGAAATTATTCCATATTAGTTCAACTGATCTCTGAATGGGGCCATCATTCACCAAACCCCAATCATAAACAAAATGGACCTTGAAGCTACCTGTTTGAGTAGGTTTCTAAACCAAACAATCAATTGAATCAGTTCGTAAAACAGGGGCAGCCCCCAAAGTAGTGGTTAATCTGGCTAACTCATCTTCTTCCCAAGACCGAAGTGCTCTTTTGAAATTGAAGGTCCACCCAGATTGATTAGATCTTCTAGCTATTTGAAAACTCAAGGACAACTCTTTGTCTTCAACCAACTAGAACAATCTTGGAAATTGGCTTAAAAGATTTGTTGAACCCAACTAAGGATCTCTCCAAAAACTAACTTGATCTCTATTCCCTATTAAAATTTCCACATTATCCTTGTAGAAATGAAAAAGTCTGCCATTTCTTTGAGCCATTGATAATATGTCTTCCCGTATCTTAGATGTAGACCCATTAGCAACCATCACAGGAAACCACTTGCCTTCTATAAAACCATACTTTTCACAAATAACCAGCTTCCACAGAGCATCATCCTCCTGACCATACCTCCACCACTATTTTAATAGCAAACTATCATTGGCTAACCTAATATTCTTGATCCCCAGATCCCCTTGTTTCATACTCATACACACCTTTGACCAACTAACTAAATGGAGCTTCTTATTATGCTATGAATCACACAATAAGAATGATGATTGAATCCTATCAATCTCTTTTGCAACACCCTCCGGTATTTTAAAAAGAGACATATAATACACATGTGAAGCAGACAAGATAGACTTGATGAGAGTAACTCTACCATCAAATGACAAAACTCTTCTCTTCCACCCAGATAACTTCTTCTTGAATTTCTCCACAACTGGTCTCCAAGTCAACCTTCTACTTGGACTGGCCCCCAAAGGTAACCCTAGATACTTCAATGGCAACTTTTGACTTGAACAATTCAATTTTACAGCAAACTCCTCGACCACCACATCTATCACATCCACTCCACACACAACACATTCGTAAAAATTAATCCTAAGGCCTGAGATTACTTCAAAACACCTAAGGTTTCTTTTGACAGCCATAATTTCAGACCAATCAGTCTCACAGAAAATCACTGTATCATCAGCAAATTGCAAATAAGATATATTCAACGCATTAGCACCTACTGATATACCTTTAAATAGACCCAACTCCTTAGCTATTGATATGAGAATATTTAGTCCCTCAGCAATAACATTAAACAAGAATGGAGATAATGGATCACCTTGCCTTAGACCTTTTTGAGGGCAGAACTTACGTGATTGTGACCCACTGAGAAGAACTAAAACTCTTACAGAAGAAATGCAACCCTTCATCCACTTGGTCCAAGTAGAACCAAAACCAAAATTTTCCAACATTTGAAAAAGAAAGTTCCAGTTTACAGTGTTGTAAGCTTTTTCAAAATCAAGCTTAAGGATCAGCCCCTTTCTATTAGACTTCTTCCACCAATCCACAATCTCATTTGCTATAAGAACTCCATCCATAATATTCCTGCCACTTAGGAAATCTGATTGAACTCTATCAATAATTCTTGGCTATACTAATTTAAACCTGCAGGCCAGCACTTTATACAACACTTTATAGATGGAACTAATAAGGCTGATAGGTCTAAAATCCGTAATTGATTAAGGACTATCAACTTTGAGAACTAGGGTCATAGAGGAGTAATTAATTCCATTACCCAATACACCGTTATCATGGAACTTTTCCGTAAAGTCCATGATATCACCCTCCATGAACATCTAGCCCTTTTGAATGCAAGTCAGGTTAAACCCATCTAGACCTGGTGCTTTATTTCCATTGCATTCCTTTATTGCATCCTAAACCTCTGCTTTTGAGAAATCCTTCACCAAACAATTCTGTAGCTAACCTTGATTAATGCATATAAACTCACCCCTAGTATTGGCCTAATTTTCCAACCTTCAGTGAACAACTCTTTAAAGTGAACCCACATTGCCTTTTTTATCTCCACAGGATCCTCATATAAAATACCATTAATCTTAAGAGAATCAATAAGATTCCTACTTTGCCTTCTAGATGCCATTATGTGAAAGAACCAGGTGTTTTTATCCCCTTTTAAGGCCCAATTCAATCTTGATTTTTGCAACCAGATCCACTCTCTCATTTTTCTAAGCTTCCATACTTCATCTCTGACTTCAATTCTTTTTCTAACTTCTGTTTCTAAAAGATGTCTTTCTTCAGCAATGAGATCCCATGAATGTAACTCTGCTTCAGCTGCTTTGAACTTGGACTCCACATTGCAAATCCTAAAAGCCTGTTTAAGTAATCTCAGTTTGACCATAATTCTGAGACCAGCCTATTCCACCACTTGTGAACCAACCCAAGCCCTTTTAACTTCTTTGATAAAGTTAGGATGTAACACCCAAGCAATTAAAAATTTAAATGGCTTGGGACCCCAATCGCTGTCATCTTCCTTCAATAAGATTGGCAATTAACATAAAAAGTTCTAGAAAGGCCCCATAACTTAAAGCTAAACCATTCAAACCACTCCGGATTTAAGAGAAATCTATCAATTCTACTCCAGCATACTCCTGATTGTGAATTACTCCAAGTATATTTCCTTCCATACATAGGAACATCAACCAATTCAAGATTATTTGAGAACTCATTGAACTCCTGCATCCCTCTATCACATCTCACACAACCTTTCCATTCCCATAAATTATTGATTTCATTGAAATCCCCCCTCTAAACACCAAGGTTTTGGAAAGGATGCTTTTAAATTAGTTAAGACCATCCAAAGATGACTTATATCTCTATTATCATTAGGGGCATAAACATTGCCAACGACACAATCAAGCCTATGATAAACCGAACCTGATAGCAAAATGAAATTCCTGGAACCGCAACAATCCTTAATCTAAAAAACACCAAGCGTCCACAAGCACAACAAACTCCCTGCACTTCCTTATGCATCGACCCCTATATACCCCAGATCATCTTCTGGTCAGAGAGATCTAACAAAATTCTTATAAAAACTTGACTTCTTCGTTTCTTGAATCAAAATCATATCCACCCTTTTTTCCTTTATAAAATTTCTGAGACTCCTTATTTTCTCAGGCTTACCTAAGCCTCTAACATTCCAAGAGAGCACTTTCATTGTGAAACTACTTAATCCCCAAATCTCCTCAGGTGTAGGCTTAAGCACCACCACGAATCCCCTTTTTTGCTAATCTTTCCTCATCTTGATTCTCCGTCTATATAATTTTGCAAACAACACTTTCTTTATCATCCCCAAATTTAATACCCAGATCTTTTCCCATCTTAACAGTTGCTTTAGCTTCATGTCAGCGCAAAATCTGCCTATATGCACCACTACTAACTGACATGGAAGAAGAAAACGCAGATGTCGCCGCTCTAAAAATTGCTCCTTGTTGAAATACTTTGCAAAACTGAGCTGTGCCTCTTAATTTCTTTTTCCTTCTTAGCCTTGACCCCTTTTCTTTACTAGTGGAAGCTTGATCAACTTTTTGACCCTTGTCTCTCTTCTCCAGAACTAATCGCCCCCATTTGAACCAACAAGTGCCACAGAACCATTTTGCCCTGTAGCTGTTCATGTAACTGGTGCTTTCTCAAGAACTGAGATGTGAGGGCTTACCATAACCTTTTTCCCTTTATCAAGTCTACTATGAATTTGATGGTCAAGGCTAGGGACAACATGGGCTTCAAGGAGATTATTTGATTGGGCTTCAGCCACTGGGTTATTGTAGACATCCCATTTTGACCGCCCGCAAGACTTAGGCTCTTGGTTCGATACACTCAATGATGAAAGTTGAATTCTGTGCTTTGAATTCACAGCGATTCGGATTAAGTCAGGCTCTCGAAATAACCTCAAATCGTTAACATTTACCTTGTTTGAATCTCTGAGTCTCATTTTTGGACCTTTTGCCACCCTGAGCTGAGTTTGAACCAAAAAAACAGGGGAGGGCATGCATGCCCAGCTGTGCCTCAGTGAAGGCCGGCCGTGGCTATGAATGGACGGCTGGGTCTTGGTGGCAAAAAACACTATACTGGGCGGGAGCTCGCCAACTGTCTATTTTTAAAGATATTTATCACCTTTTGAGCTCAAATTCTATAAAAACGAGGTCCAGCCTCTGTTTTGGAGGTTGAAAAAAATTCTAGAAAGCTTATATACACCTTAAGAGCTCCTTCTGCTTCCTTCTTCCATGGCAAGCAACCTTTAAGTTAACCTACCTCCCTTGTGTCATCTCCATACACCATACACAACCTTGTCTCATCATCTTAGAGCCATGGTTGATCTTTGAGAAGCCTAATTCAAGCTTGAGAGTGTGTCAAGAGAGAGTTTGATCATCGACCAAAGCTTACTCCCTTTTGAGAGGTATAAGCTTGTAACTTTTGTTCTTGCTTTTGATTTCTTCATGTCTACTTATTTCTTGTGTCGTTGGACTATTTTACACTTATTCTAAGAGTTGGAACTTGGGTTTGGACAAGCTACCAAAGGTGGTAAGGTTAACACCCTCACTTGCACCTATTTTTGTAGCTTAACCCTTGGCTCCTTCACACTCTTTTTGTTTGTTTTTTGAATTGATTCTTAGAGTTGAATTGAGGCCAAAAACAAGATTTTAAGTCCTAAAATTGGAGGGGTTGGCCATTCCTTCTTGTTCTTTTGCTTACATAGCTTAAGTGTCTTTGCTTTTGCTTAACTTTTGAGCTCTTTTCTTATATTTTTAGCCACTATTTTAGGCTTATTTTAGACTGTTTTAGGGTTGTCTCATTCTTTTTAATTGGTTCAAGCTTTGGTTAGTTCCTTTGTTGTCTCATGAATTGGCATACATAACTTGTTGCACGTTGTTCCAAACTTTCCTTTACTTACTTTTCATGATTAAGAGTCTCACTCTAAAAATCATCTAACCATCTATCTCTTTCATTCTTGAGAATGAATTCAACCAATTGAGGTTGCTCAAAACATGTAAGAGAGACTTCTACCTAATGGCTTAATCTTTTCGGAGATTCATTGTCAACGGTATAGTCTTTCTCTTTCTCATGTTTTAGAAGAACCTCTCGTTTGATGTTACTTCTTGTTTAGCAGACTTTAACATCACCATGGACAAATGGACTAATGAATGGCAATGACTAAACAAATTGGTTTAAAATTGGGTCAATGCACATAAAGAAAATGGCTTAAATTGCTTAGACATGGCTAGACGTTATGCAAAATTTATTGAGTCAAGAGTGATCATGCGCTAATTCATGGCGTTTTGATGATTCTTGAAGTGTTTTTACCACCTTCTTTGAGTTTATTCCATGATAAGAGGAAGGGGTGGTCATATTTATTGCATTTCATTGATCTTTGTCCAAAATTATATTTGAAATCATCAAGCAATCAATCTGCTCATTGATGGCTTTGGAATCAATTTCAACCTTCTCTCGAGGCTTTCCTATGACAGAGAAGGAAGAAAGAGACAAACAGAGCTTAAGCAACTCTGTCTGCAATGTTTTCACTTCAGAACACAAAACAGAGTTTTGCACAAAACTGAGGCACGACTGGCCTTCTCTATGCCTGGCCAGGCCTTATTGAGGGTCGGCCGGCCCTCTAAGTTTGGTTAGTAGTGTATTTTTGCAGAAAACAGAGGGCAGTGATTGAGGTGAAACAGAGCAAGCTTGAAACAGATAGAGCTGATCTTGAGCACTATGCATGTGAATGTATACAATTCTTGCGCATCCTCGCTTATGTTGATTATTAGTCTCGTTAATTATTAAGTGTTCATTATTGTCTATTTGTAATTGTTATACTTAATTAGTTTAAATAGCGAGTTTTCTTTATTTTGATTATCCTTGTTTTAATAGCATAGATAGCCTAATTAGCTTAGCCTATTCTATTCATTTGGTTTTGTAATAATTTGTTTAATTCAGACATTCGGACATTGATTCGCACCTTTCCGCATGAGGGATCAAATGTTGTAATAATGTGTATGTCTTCCAACCCCACGTCTTTCTCCTTTTTATTTAATCGCTTACAATGGTTAGTATAGGGCATCACATTTCATTAGCATTCTCATGTTTCACATCCATTCGTCTTGCATGCATCCAAGGTTCGGCTCATCATGCTAACCTAATATCAATGTTCAAATTTATTTCTTGAATACGTGCCTTATTGCATGTCTTGAATGAAATCATATGCCATGCTCATAGCTGAGCCTATAAAATACATAATGTGTGTGTTACATTAGTCATATTGCATTAATTAGAAACATGCATATCTTTCTAATCACTTTGCTTTGTTTTGGCTCGGAGTACTAGGTAAGCTATTTTGAGCTTTAGCATATTGCATGAATGTTTGTGTTACTATGTCAAAACATACTCCCATGAGGCTACTTGCTTAAATGATATACCTGTTTGAATGCCTGTGGATGAAGGCTAGTTGCTTGAACTGGGACGGTTTGATTAAATGTCCATTTTAGCCCACTTTTTTAAGTGGCAAAATCACAAAACAATTTCGAAACAAAACATGAGATCAAGTGTTCAAACTCTTGCAAACTAGTCTATACCTTGTGTGCGCATCACATAGTAAAGAATAACTAAATAAATCGAAACAGGAGCATATAATGTAAATAAGAAACACATCATGATTAGTAGAGGTCGATCTTTGATCGGGTGAGTGGGGTGCTCAATTCATGACCTTTCCCTCTCATACCTAAGTTCTTGAGCCGAGACACTTTGGTGATGACGAACTAATGGCCTTGGCACGAGTCTTGGGTTTCCTAAATTTTTCAAAAATATTTAGGTGGCGACTCTGAAATTTGGCAAAATAGTCAATTTTTGACATTTGGTTCAAACATCAATTTTCCAAAAAGAATTGCCGGATTTGGACTCTTTTTTATTTTCACTATTTCACATTGCACTTGTGAAATTAGATTCAGAACTACAAGTGGAGTCTGAACTGTAGGGCTATTCGCTTTCCGAAAGGAGTGCGGAAAATCGAGCTACAGTTATGTGTAGACACTAAAGCAACTAGGCCAAGGTCCACCACATTCTGCCTTTCCATACCCAACTCCAAACCATTACAAAGCCCTTTATAATGGACTGGACTTAATACCACCTCCAAGTTAATATTGGGCCTAACAATACCATTATCACTAAGACTTCTCATCAAGCCAACATGCCCATAATTCTCAATGACTCCATAGTTTCCCACTACTTGCCTCTGTATTGATTTGCTTTGCACGCTTGTCTTGGAACCAGAAGGGACTACAGTCGCAATTTGGTTTTCGAATTCTCCAGTCGTTTCCTTCACAATTGAAACGGTGAAAGAATTACAGTTGCCACCATGCATGTCATGACCCGAACCCGTCCCTATGGGTTAAGGACATAACCGGCCAGTAATCAAGAGATTACCAACGGCCTCAAACCATATAAGACATAACTCATCAGAGTAAAGGGGCCAAACGGAAGGAAAAATTTAAAACTTTGTCTATATAGCTGTGCTTATATGTACATCATAACATTTCACATAAGTATTCGTTAATAACTCACATCAAAAGAAAGTTAACATATAAACTGTACATACAGGATCATTCAAGTCTAAGTCAGTCAAACCCAAAGTTTATATACAAAAGTGATCCAATGTTTTCGCCAACATAACAAAACTATAAAAAAAGAAC